CTTTTTCTTCCTCCTCTCTCTCTCTCTCTCCCTTCCCTTTTTTTTTCTAAAATAAACTCTATTGTCTATTATTTGTTAAATAAGTATAATAAACTTAATTTTTTTTTAAAAAAAAAAATTCAGCTTATACTATGAATATTTTGTTTTTTTTTTTTAAAAAAAATTTTTTTACACATACATTATTTCATTGGTTAGGAGAAAAGAAAAAAAAATGTTTAATTTAAAATTTTTTTTTATTTTTGATTTTTCAAATTGTGGATAATAATTTAAATTTTTTTTTAATATTTTTCAGGTCGTGGACAACAAGCACAACAACAACATGATTTTTCACCAAAAAATGAACCAATTGATTTAGCACCACTTAGTCAACCAAGTTTACAAGATTTAAGTAAAATGCAACCAATTGAACAATATTATTCAATGCCTAGCTATAGTCGTGTATATACTGATTATGCAGCTATTGGACTTGCACAAGGTCAAACATCCATTATTACAGCACCATCAAGTGCTACATCACTTTATTATCCCACCGTATTCCAAGGTGCTGTAACAGCACATGAATGGCAACGTCCTATGGAACACTATCAACAATATCAGCAACAGCAACAACGTGCTAGCGCATTACAGTATCCACAAGATGTATCACAATCACAACAACAACAACAACAACAAACACAACAACAACAACAACAACAACAATCACAACAACAACAACAACAACAACAACAACAACAGCAACAACAACAACAACAGCAACAACAACAACAACAAGAAACTCGGGTATATAAAAATGCGGTTGAAATGCCATCACCGGTAGATAGTGGTATTGGTGCTGATTTATCTTTAATTGCAACAAAAAATGATGATTTTTATACGACAACTGATGTATTACATGGTATTCAATCAGCTACAAATGATCGAACTGAACGTTCATTAAGTCATCGTGATTCACCAATTATCATCCCAAAATTGTTCGTTTTAATTATTTAATAAAAATTTTAAAGAAAAATTCAAAAATTTTAAAATTTTATAATTTAAAATATTTAATTAAAAAGAATTATAAATAAACATTACATTGCATTTGTATAAATTTTACTCCATTCTATGCTAATATTAATTGTATGCAAAAAAAAACTTTTAAATATATTAAAATTTTTCAATTTTATCAAATTCTTCAAATTAATTGAGGGATGATCTTTGCACTTTTGTTCATTCTCAATACTTTCTATACTTTATTTTTTTAACATATAAATTATATGATTGATTATTCTATGCGATATTTTCTCTTAAAATATAATTTTCTTTTATTTTACCACTCATTTATTTCCATATTCATTTTTTACTTTTTCCATTTATCTAACAAAGGTTGAAAAATTATTTTCTTTTTTTTCTTCGTTAATTTAAAAAAATTTTTAATTAAAGAACTTTTGAAATAATGTGTTTTCCCTCTTTTGAATTCAGAAGTTTTTTTTTCCTTAATTTATAAATTAATTAATTTCAACAATTAGTCTTTACTAATGAATAGCTTCAAATAATCATTTCTAATTTTTCATTTCTTTTTTCTTCTATTTATGTCACATAATTAGATTAAAACAATGCAAATATTAATAATATGTAAGATTGGATTAATTAATATGCATAACATTTCCAATTATGAAATTAAAATGACATTTGATTGCATCATCTTTGACGACCAATTATTTGCTCTATTAATAATTTATATATGAAATATATATTCATTAATTATCACTGCTTGAATAATTTGATAGTTTAAAATGGAAATTAATTTAAAATACGATGAATGTATCGTTTCGTTACAAATGACTGAATTGATATTATTGGTATAATATAAATTAATTCAAATTAAAATATCGAAAAATATTTTGTTCTTTTAATAATACATACCTTTATTGTTATGCAAATAAATATACAATAGATTTAAATCTAAATTTAAACTTATTTACAACAGAACTGATTTAATGATAACACATAATAAATCAAATGATAGTATATTAAATGATAATATTAAATGATACGTTTAATCATATTTGAACTCATTTACACTAGAACTAATTTAATGATAACACATAGTGGATTAAATGATCGTATATTAAATGATAATATTAAATGGTATATTTAATCATATTATATTGCCATAGTAATATGCATATTTACTTGAACTCCATATTTATGGTCGAACTAATTTAATGAAAATATATAGCCTTTATCGCCATAATACCTTTTTATATTTGAACTTATTTACAATGGAACTAATTAACCAATAATATATAATCTTTATTATCATGATAATAATATATATATATATTTGAATTCATTTGCAGTGGAATTGATTATATATATATATATATATTTGAATTCATTTACAGTGGAATTAATTAACCGATAATATATGATCTTTTATCATCATGATGCATTTACATATTTGAACTCATTTACAGTAAAACTGATCAACCACTAATATATACATATATATATATCAAAATCTTTACTACCATAATACATTCACATAACTGAACTCATTTACAGTAGAACTAATTAACCGATAATATATACTTTTTATTACCATAATAATGCATACACATAATTGGAATCATTTACAGTAGAACCAAATTAATCACAATATGTGACAATTCTTATTAATACAATTTAAAAAAAAAAAAAAGAAAAACGAAATATTAGGACGGAAAGAATTTTACCATTTCTTATTTCAATTTATCAATCGATCAAAAAAAAAAAAGAAGAAAAGAAAAAATAGATGAATTTTATGATAAGTAACAAAAATTATTCGTCAACTAAACTAGTTCTTAAAAATTTTCACAAATTTCTCAAAATGCTATTTGGCATTTATGCAAATTATCCAATCTTATCGAACATTACTTATAAATTGATAATTTCAATTATTTTTAGC